ATCCCTCATCTCGATAACATAAGTATCAGTAATCAGAATACGGTCGTCGATGGAAAGGCTGAGATCGGTGGCTCTAGCGTCAGTCACTATCATTCTTCTCGAGGCTAAACTCACCTCGAGAGGATCGAAAGCGGTAGTGGAACGAACCCCAATAGCTTCGAGACATTGCCGTGATATAAAAGAATGGGTCGCTCCGGTATCAAATAAAGCATAGACAGGCACATCATTAAGAATAATCATCCCGGACATGGTACCTGGGTGCTGGTCGGCCTCCCTCTGGTCAACTGCAAAGACGCGAGCCTGCTGTCTGCCGCGTTGCTGTTGCTGTGGTCTTGGTGGTTGCTGCCTGGGCTGCTGTTGTTGAAGTTGCTGTTGTTGAGGTTGATGTGGCGGTTGACGTTGTTGCGGTTGTTGTTGTAGTCGTTCTAGACAGTTGTTGCTGAAGTGACCTGGCTGGCGGCAAAAGAAACAAACATTCTGGCCCACGAGGCATTCTCCACGGTGGTGTTTCCCGCAGGTTGGGCATTCTGGATATTGTCTGGGACGGGTCCTCCGGTTGTCTGGGCCCCCTCTAAGCTTCCTCTTCTTCTGGTTTGTTGATGGTTGGGCTACCTTGGGCTGGGCTGGTGGCTGCGCAACTGGCTGGGCTGGTGTCTGGGTGGCTTCTCGTCGGATACTGGCATCAACTTCTTGTGCAATGGCGACTGCGCAGGCGTAGGTCTGGACGTCGTGGCCTACGATGTTGTGGCGGACTGTTGGGCGAAGTCAGTCGGTGAAACGGTGTGCTCTCTTCGCCTCCATACCCATAAGATCAGCTACAAAGGCTCCGAGACAGGTGAACTCTCTTTTGTACTCGTCGACAGTACGAGTACCCTGGGTGAGTGCCAAGAACTGGCGCTCCATGTCTGCTCGGTAATACGAGGGATAATACTTTTCTCGGATCAGCTCCTTGAACTGGTCCCACGTACAACCGTCTTTTTCACCAGGACGCATACTCTAATAGGCTTGCCACCAGAGTCGGGCATCACCGGTCAGCTGGATCTGGGCACATAACATGCGATAACGATCAGGGCAGTTCATGACCTCGAAAATAATCTCGAGACTCTGAACCCATTCATCTACCACACGAGGATCTCCTTGGCCGTAAACCTTTTCTGGATGGTAGTTGCGGAACAAAGTGACCACTGTGGCCTATGGGAGTTTCTGGTAATCTGGCTCTCTACGAGGAGGCATCTGAACATTAAAATATTTAACATGATTAAGTAACATAAGAGATTAACTGACTGATTACTTAAATACACAGATCTCTTGACGAGTCGCTAGATAACCCGAGAATACTAAAGTCGAACTATCAAATAACTGGGATAATCGACCAAGTTCTGACCATACTCAAGCATCTTACTAGTTTCTAGGGTAAAATATCTGATACCCTCTCACTAAGCATAGACTTAAGTATTCGTTTAAATATATAAACTGTAACTCAGCACTTACCTGATAGTCGGCGAGGCGTGAGCGTAGCGTGTCGGGTCTTTTCTGAAAATTTCTGACTTTAAAAGTATTCAGATACACAAGAATGTGCTCTGATACCAATTTGTAACACCCCGCTAACTTACTAAAATTAGAGTGCGATTTTCGCAAATTCTTTTCTAAAGTTTACATTTTATTTTGCGAAACATATCTCGGGATGCTACATAAAATATTCCTTTTCTAAAAATCCTTTAACTTTATTTATTTTCTAGAATCATTTACGAAAAACGGATTATCTTTTGTAAAACAAGTGCGTAATACTGTATAAAACTTGACCCGAAAGTTCGGATCGTCGCTTGAAAATTTACACGCTAGTTTGGAAGTCTGAAAACGTCAGCGGAAGTAAAACGTGGCAAATATATACATATCAACAGTCTGCAAAAATATATACATATTTACATGTACTGGACCGGCGACCACCAACTCCACTCACTCCTCCGGACAGACCCTGTCTCCTGAAAAGAATCATAATAGTGGGAGCGTGAGTACTATAAACACTGTACTCCACAAAAACTCATACTAAAGTAAACATTAATAATAATATCAATATAATGACTGCAGGTATATATAAGTAAACTGTAATCTGTACACTCCAGACACGAGGTCTGTACTGAACTGGCCATGTGCACACTCTGATGGGCAATTAAGGCTACTGCGCCTCCACCAGAACTCTGGATGGGCAATTAAGGCTACTGCGCCTCCACCCAAAGTGGAATAACTGATATACATACCTTAAAACATGATAGAGCAATTATAACCAATGTAATACCCAGTCTGAGTCCCCACCTGTACTGATAATGTAAGTGCTACTGCTGATCACTCTGTAAACATTATATAAATAAACAAATACTAAGTACTACACTCAGACTGACTGAAAATA